CCACAAAAGTGAGTACACCCCTAAGTAAAAATGTCCAAATTGGGCCCAAAGTGTCAATATTTTGTGTGCATCACAGGTGAAAGCAGCTCATCCAATCAGGATTTAGAGACAGAACAATGTGGGTTATTTTAATGAGTATTTGCTTGCACAGGTTTTGTCTCTCTCACCGGCGTTTACTCATATGACACTGAAGAGAAATGAAGAGGATCTAAATTCAGAGCAATATCTAGAAATCCATGTTCTCTCTTGAGAATTCCTCACTTGCTCTCGCCCTTCTCTCCAAGCCACTCCACACATCACTTATTATCTTATCAAACACCGACATTTTTCTGTCTGCCAGCTGATTTATAGACTCATGCCTCTGTACACCTCATGATGAGATCCGGAGATTTCACACTGCGTTTCAATTGGAAAGAAAATCTAAATATTAGGAAAATAACGTAATAACTTTCCTTGCTAAACAAGCCACCATTGTGATCGGCCAGCCAGTAATTCAGCACTTTCATACTTCACCATAAAGGAATAGTTCACCCAACAATCAAAATTTGCTGAAAATGTACTCACCCTCAGGCCATCCAAGATGTAGACGAGTTCGTCTAATCATCGCAACAGATTTGGAGAAAGGCAGCATTACATCACGTGCTCACCAATTGATCCTCTGCAGTGAATGGGTGCCGTCAGAATGAGAGTCAAAAAAAAAGATAAAAACATCACAATAATACACAAGTAATCCACACCACTCCAGTCCATCAGTTAACACCTTGTGAAGTGAAAAGCTGCATGTTTATAAGAAACAAATCCATCAAGGCATTTTAACTTTTAGCCGTCATTTCTGGCCCACTTCTGAGTCCATAATCCATAAAACGCTTCCTCCAGTGAAAAAGTCCATCCCCTGTTGTCCTCTCACATCAAAATCCGCTGACATATTTGTTTATTGCTGTTTTAGACTCTTTTCGGTGCTTGATCTGCGCATTTTTCTCTCCTGATTCAGACAAGATGACTTTTTTCACTTGTGAAAGCAATATTATGGATAGAGGAATTGCATTATAAAAAAATTTACTAATGATGGATTTGTTTCTTACAAACACACAGCTTTTCACTTCACTAGACATGAATTGATGGACTGGAGTGTACTTGTGGATATGTTTTTATCAGCTGTTTGGACTCTCATTCTGATGGCACCCATTCACTGCAGAGGATCCATTGGTGAGCAAGTGATGCAATGCTAAATTTATACAAATCTGACGAAGAAATAAACTCATCAAAATTGGTTGGCCTGAGGGTGAGTGAATTTCTTGCAATTTTTTTTTAAATTTTGGGTTAACTATTCCTTTATTCTGCCAATTTAGATGGTATCAAGCGCAAACATTTCCACTGCACTGAATCTGTAGATTTAGCCGAAATCCATTTCATAATCGAGCCAAATATTCAGATCATCCTGAGTCAATCTTAGCTTCGGACAGGTAATCATAAGAGAACGTTTGCATACGGCTTTACCGATCAGCCTCTAGCGGCGCGTTCATTGATTCACTTGCACGTATTTATGTCAAGAACTATTTGCAGAGTTAATTAAAGTCATTTCAAATCATTTAGCAAGCATACACAAACAAGTCTATCCCTCGCTTTCCTGCCCATTATCCTGATCCGTTCTGATGAGCCGAACACCTGCTCTCGCTGCTGACCTCACTGTGCAAATGGATGCGAGCCATTCGTCTCTGTTGTCCTGTATCTCTTTACAGCGGCTTCCTCTCTCTCTCTCTCTCTCTGTGATGAGGGTTCAAACTCAGCTGTCTGTGCAGCTTGATTAGATGTCCGTTTTTTGGCACAGAATCAATGTTGTTTAGAAGTTTCAATGCTGCAAATTGAAAAAGCCTCTTCACACGCTTCATTTTCTCTGTCATTCCAAACTGAGGCTGTTGAGGATAATTGGTTGAAAGACAGAAAGATTTCAATGTAACGATTAGTTGTGAACATACCGGTGAACCACACAACCTGTAGACCTTTTTTTCTGTGCTGATTCTATGGGAAAAACCTGAGTTCTGCTAGATTTAAAAGGTAAATGTGATGAACAGAGTACTGCACTCTTACTGGTAACTAAAAGCATCATTAAAACAGCTAAATATTTAGCCCTTTATGAACCACATTATGCTAAAACAAAGTCAATTCAATGTGTTATCTTATCAGTGTGAAAAGCCCATTTTGCTTTCATAATTTGACATTTCTGTGTCACACAGAATATTGAATGCTAAAAACTGTAGGGTTGGACTTTTTTGGGAATTGAGTGGATCAAATACCAAAACTGAGCCAGACTGAATAAGAGTTGGCTAAAGCAATGCCTAAATAGCTATCTGGCGATTGGTTAACATAACCCCTGTGGCCGTCATTGGAAATGAAAAACTCACCTTAAAAATGCATTTTAAATATTACTAAGAAAATGAATGATTTGGTCACAATAAGATCAGAAATGTTCATTAAGAATTTTTCAATCAAAAAAATAAAAATTCTGTCATTAATTACTCACCCTCATGTCGTTCCACACCCCTAAGGCGCTGTCAATTGAGGCCTCTCTGAGCCATTGGATTTGATCAAAAATACCTTAATTTGTGTTCTGAAGGTGAATGAAGGTCTTAGGAGTGTGGCACGACATGAGGGTGAGTAATTAATGACAATTTTCAAGCACGTACAGAATGTTCGGTGTGTGACAGAGTAAACAGTAATAGCATGTGCAGTGGTAGCAGAGGCAGCAGTGACAGCCTCCCTCGGGTCCTAACGCCTGTTCGGTAAGGAGTGTAAGGAGTGTTAATCTGTAACACAGTTAAGCTGTTGGCCTACTTCTAATTAAATTAAAAGTAAAATAGCCTACACAAAAAACATTTAGACTGTTTCTGATTAAATAAAGCAGTAATTGATGGCATAAAATAATGAGTATGTTTTGATTTAAAGGTCAGAAGCTATAGCTTACATAAAAAAAAAAAATCACAAACATGACACTTGAAAATTACATAATTTTATATATACTGATTTATTCATTAATGTGTGATATATTCATTTTTTTAAACAAATCATAAGCTCTAAAAGATTTTCAGAATTTTTACAATTCTTTTGCTTTAGACCATCTACAAATGTTAAATCTTAAAATAAAATGTTAGGGTTAACACTGCATCTTTCTGGGGGGGAAAATGCAGCGATTGATATATAGTATATTTATAGTTATTTTCAAAGCTTCAATGTACTGTCAAAAAAACCTTCATTGTTTAATTCTAATAAATAAGTTCTTGTTAAAAACTAACCAAAATGAAAAAATATTTTGCTTATAATTTCTGCACAGGAGAGACTTGGTGTTGTTTCCAAACAAAAGGAAATATATCAGTGTCGGTATCGGCCAAAATGAGTTGAAAATATCGGTATATCGGATACCGGTAAAAATCCAATATCGTGCATCCCTAGTTTAAATATATTTATTTATTTATTTATGCATGCATGCATGCATGCATGTATTAGCATTTTAAAAATTTACAAAAGCAGTCAAATGTTACCATATTAAAGACAAAAATAAGTATTCAAGATTTATAACTTAACTTTTAACCATAAAATAATGTCTTCAGAATCATTCATATGTGAAAATGGGCTGAGAATTGGACATACATACAGTATAATCATGTCTTGTGGCAGTTTTTCTGCTGATAAAGGGAAAATACAAGACTTCTTCAGCTTACAAATGGTTGTCGAAAGCAAAAATGCTACAAAATACATCATATTTTTTGGAAAACATCCACTATTTCTGGAATCAACGCCCCAGAATTAATAAGAAACAAGTATTGGATTTCATTCAGCAGATATGATGCAGAGATAGGACTAGAAATATGATTTCACTCTAATGTATGTCACAATTGAAACAAAATAAGAGGGATTATGAAAATTGCATGTTCTTTTTTATTTAGTACTGTCCTGAATAAGCTATTTCACATAACATATGTTTACATATACTCCACAAGACGAAATAATAACTGAATTTATAAAAATGACCCCACTGAAAAGTCTTAATACTATGCGTCATTTCTTGGATGATCCACGACTGTTTTTATATTTTGTGATAGTTGTTCATGAGTCCCTTGTTTGTCCTGAGCATTTCAACTGCCTGCTGTTCTTCAGAAAAATCCTCCAGCTCCTGCACATTCTTTGGTTTTCCAGCATCTTCTGCATATTTGAACCCTTTCCAAAATTGACTATGATTTTGAAATCCATCTTTTAACACTGAGGACAATTGAAGGACTCATGCATAACTATTACAAAAAGTGAAAACATGTACTGATGCTCAAGAAGGCCACACAATTCATAAAGAGACGGTGGGTGCACTCTTGACATTTGCCACTAAAATAATGCCAAAAACAGCCTCAAATGAACTATGAAAACGAGAATAAAGTTGTACAAGCTGCAATCCATGTCTTATTGGTTAAAATGAACGGAGACTATCTCGTGTTTTTCCGTGGGGATCGGCGCCTATGCAATCAACAACTGACGAATAAACTCAAGTCCTGGCCTACGTTTTTCCTTAATCGATAAACGGCTTCACAATGCAAGTTGGCTGAAGTTTCTATTTTCTGCCAATTTTAAATAAGACACCACCACTGGTTTTGCCAAGCACTCGCTTCAGCTTTCCTGGCCTTAGACGTGATCTGATTGTGTCTTTTGCATGGGCTCAAACGCAAATTCAGGCAGGAGAATGCAAAAATGAGGTCAGGGTTAAAGGACCTCTTCCCACGCTAACCCAGGGCGATTGAGAAAATGCATTAACACGATGCACTTCAACATGAGGTGAGAGACGGAGTGAAAGAGATCATTTAAAAAGAGACACACTCTTCTTCCAGCAGCACACACACACTCACACACACACACACTGTACTATCTGGCCACTTTATACAGACGACATGCCGCTCTTTCCAGATGAAAGTAGCACAAAGAGGGACGGAAAAAAGAGAAACGGCAATGAGCTCGCTCACCTTAACCTCAGGACCATGTTCACCGCTCCCTGAGCGCTTGAGGGTTTCTCCAACGGTTGAACCTGAACACAAACACACAACATGATGGTATGATGTTGAGGTTAAAAGATCTTTACACAGCACGCGCTGCTGCTTACGGTCTTGAGGAAATCAGGATTTTACTGGATATGTGAAGCAAAATTACTCTAGTCAACTCATATTATGACTGAAGCAAGGCAGAAAGATACTGAAGCTAACAGTGTTAAACTCTAATTAGCATATAAGTACATAAACACACATTTTCGGTAAAACAGTCCATTTTTATTTAGGAATCCACTAAATATTGGTACCATACCATATGTTATCAGTAAAAATTACAAATCTTTTCATTTATTTTAATATAACAGCTGATAATGGATATCTATATTGGCCAGTATTGGATATTGAATTTTGCATGCCTTTATTTTTACATTTAGATTACCATTGAAGCCATCTAATACTCACAAAAAAATCAGTGTTGTTTAATCGACTATAAAAAAAAATTTTTTTTTATTAATTAGTTGAACTAAAAGGAAATATAAATATTAGATGAAAATCTTATAACTAAAATTACTAAAATTGAAAAAAATTAATTAAATCTAAATAGAGATATAGAAATAAAATGATGATTAATAGAGCATAATATATAAAAAAAATTTAAAAAAAAATGACAAAATCCCTTAACAAAATGACTAAAAATTAAACTAAAATAAAAATGAAAACACATTTTTTTATATATTATTAAATACAATAACTAAAAGCAATAGTAAAAAAAAAACAATACTCTTAAGCAAATCTTAAAATGAATATGTATTTTTCATACAGTATATTATAATGTTGTGATGCAAACATGTACTTATGTACTGATTTAAAATTATTGATTTCTAGTATTTAGTTACATTTTTTTCATTCACTCAGGCAAAATAGTATTTCAATTTTAATTTTAACATTTTAATATCAGCCATGTATTGTTATTAGCCATAACAAAAGTTTAATAATGGTGCATTTTTTTATTTTAATAAACTAAGCTATTTATTTTAATTATTGATGCTTAAATTCTGATGTTAATCAACATTTCTGTCACTTTGCTCAGGATCAGGTTCTGTCACAATGCATCAGGTTATATATTATCAATAACTAAAATTAAACTTAAAAGCTGAAGAACTAGAATTAATAACTTTAAATAAATAAAATCTAAACCTGAACCAAAAATAAATTAAACCTAAACAGTAATGTTTAAAAAAAAAAAATGAGAAAAACACTTGAAAAGTTCCTAAAATTTTAACTAAAATTAAAACGAAAAATGAAAAAATAACAGCGGATTTAAAATATGAATAAAAATATAATAGTATAGCAACGCTCTGGTATAATAGTGCCTTCTTCACAAAGGATAAATGCAACTGAAAGAAGCTCTTTGTGTCCGAAACGCAGCTCTGATGCATTAAAATGCTCCCTACACAGGCGGCTCACTAGGTTTTGGACCAGAGACTCTTTTCCAGATGCTGCAGCAGGCATTCACTCTCACTCTTTATTTGAAATATTAAGTTGAATAGGCTCCCTCAAGGCAGTCGGCCCCCAGGGTTGTGTCCAGACCGCCCAGAGACCAGTCGCCTCACAGCACAGAGCATCAGGGCCACCGAATCAAGACAAATCACAGCAACACTGTCAGCGCCGGCCGGGCCTCACCTGGGGATGCTGAATGGTGAGGTCCTCTAGCGGGAGACTGTTAGCGTTCACTTCACCCTGCAGAGGAAAAATGGAGTGCTTAAGAGCAAAGGAAGGTACAGAAAGACATCTCTCCACCCCTCACTGTTTCTTTTCATTCCCTCCAAGGACACTTCTTCAGCAGCTGGGGAAATGGGTTTTCTACAAGCTCAAAGGCTGAGATAAAGTCATGGCATTTGGTAATCCAGTGGGAGAAAATATGAGTGGAACATGGCTGTGTGCACTCAGACAGTAGGAAATAAGATCGGTGTTTGCGCTGCTTAATTGCTATTTGTCCAATACGGTCGAATAGGTCACACTTGTTAATTATTTAATACGCAGTTTATTAGGCAAACAGCGCAATCCCTCGATACTCTCAATTAAATGATCAAACGATACTTCAGTCGTTAATTAAATCTATTCACAGCCAAACATAGTCAGTCAAGACCCCTGTGTCTGAGATCATATTTACAGCATTTACAGATTACAGCTGTAGCGCAAATCCAAAGACAACATGAAATAGGAATCATGACCCATTTTACTTCTGTAATATCACATACACAAGTGTATCACATACACATATACAGGGTTTTAAAAATATTTTCAATGTTTTTGAAAGAAGTCTCTGCAAGGCTGCATTTATTTGATCAAAAATAAAGTGAAAAGTATAATATTGGTGAACGAACAGTATTAATTTGAAACAGAATTGTTTTGTAGTATTACAAATGCCTTTAATGTCACTTTTGATCAATTTAATGCATCTTTGCTGAATAAAAATCTTTTTTTTTAAATCATACTGACACATTGCTATGCACTTGCTAGGGTGTTTTGGTTACCTGGACATTCGCTGCTAGGATGTTTTGGGCATTGCCATGCATTTTACAAGAATGTTTTGGGCGGTTACCAGGGTGTTGCCATGCATTTTACAAGAATGTTTTGGGTGGTTACCAGGGCGTTGCCATGCATTTTACAAGAATGTTTTGGGCGGTTACCAGGGCGTTGTCATGCGTTTTACTAGAATGTTTTGGGTGGTTACCAGGGCGTTGCCATGCATTTTACTAGAATGTTTTGGGTGGTCACCAGGGTGTTGCCATGCATTTTACAAGAATGTTTTGGGTGGTTACCAGGGCGTTGCCATGCGTTTTACTAGAATGTTTTGGGCAGTTACCAGGGCGTTGCCATGCGTTTTACTAGAATGTTTTGGGCAGTTACCAGGGCGTTGCCATGCGTTTTACTAGAATGTTTTGGGCAGTTACCAGGGCGTTGCCATGCGTTTTACTAGAATGTTTTGGGCAGTTACCAGGGCGTTGCCATGCGTTTTACTAGAATGTTTTGGGCAGTTACCAGGGCGTTGCCATGCGTTTTACTAGAATGTTTTGGGCAGTTACCAGGGCGTTGCCATGCGTTTTACTAGAATGTTTTGGGCAGTTACCAGGGCGTTGCCATGCGTTTTACTAGAATGTTTTGGGCAGTTACCAGGGCGTTGCCATGCGTTTTACTAGAATGTTTTGGGCAGTTACCAGGGCGTTGCCATGCGTTTTACTAGAATGTTTTGGGCAGTTACCAGGGCGTTGCCATGCGTTTTACTAGAATGTTTTGGGCAGTTACCAGGGCGTTGCCATGCGTTTTACTAGAATGTTTTGGGCAGTTACCAGGGCGTTGCCATGCGTTTTACTAGAATGTTTTGGGCAGTTACCAGGGCGTTGCCATGCGTTTTACTAGAATGTTTTGGGCAGTTACCAGGGCGTTGCCATGCGTTTTACTAGAATGTTTTGGGCAGTTACCAGGGCGTTGCCATGCGTTTTACTAGAATGTTTTGGGCAGTTACCAGGGCGTTGCCATGCGTTTTACTAGAATGTTTTGGGCAGTTACCAGGGCGTTGCCATGCGTTTTACTAGAATGTTTTGGGCAGTTACCAGGGCGTTGCCATGCGTTTTACTAGAATGTTTTGGGCAGTTACCAGGGCGTTGCCATGCGTTTTACTAGAATGTTTTGGGCAGTTACCAGGGCGTTGCCATGCGTTTTACTAGAATGTTTTGGGCAGTTACCAGGGCGTTGCCATGCGTTTTACTAGAATGTTTTGGGCAGTTACCAGGGCGTTGCCATGCGTTTTACTAGAATGTTTTGGGCAGTTACCAGGGCGTTGCCATGCGTTTTACTAGAATGTTTTGGGCAGTTACCAGGGCGTTGCCATGCGTTTTACTAGAATGTTTTGGGTGGTTACCAGAGCGTTGTCATGCGTTTTACTAGAATGTTTTGGGCGTTGCCATGCGTTTTACTAGAATGTTTTGGGCAGTTACCAGGGCGTTGCCATGCGTTTTACTAGAATGTTTTGGGTGGTTACCAGGGCATTGAAATGCATTTTGCTAGGGTGTTTTAGGTGGTTACCAGGGCGTTGCTATGCATTTTACTAGAATGTTTTGGGTGGTTACCAGGGCATTGCTATGCATTTTACTAGGGTGTTTTGGTGGTTACCAGGGCATTGAAATTTATTTTACTAGGGTGTTTGGGTGGTTACCAGGGCATTGCTATGTATTTTGCTAGGGTGTTTTGGTGGTTACCAGGGCATTGCCATGTGATTTACTAGAATGATTTAGGTGGTTACCAGGGTGTTGCTATGCATTTTACTAGTGTGTTTTGGGTGGTTACCAAGGCATTACCATGTGTTTTTCTAGAATGTTTTGGGTGTTTACCAGAGCATTGCTATGCATTTCACTAGGGTGTTTTGGATGGTTACCAGGGCGTTGCCATGCGTTTTACTAGAATGTTTTGGGTGGATACCAGGGCGTTGCTATGCGTTTTACTAGAATGTTTTGGGTGGTTAAGAGGTTGTTACTATGCGGTTGCTAAGGTGTTTTGGATGGTCACCAGGGCGTTGCTATGCGTTTTACTAGAGTGTTTTGAGTGGTTACTAGGGCATTGCTATGCCTTTTACTAGGGTGTTTTGGTGGTCACCAGGGTGTTGCTATGCATTTTACTAGAGTGTTTTGGATGGTCACCAGGGTTTTGCCATGCGTTTTACTAGAGTGTTTTGGATGGTCACCAGGGTTTTGCCATGCGTTTTACTAGAATGTTTTGGGTGGTTAAGAGGTTGTTACTATGCGGTTGCTAAGGCGTTTTGGATGGTCACCAGGGCGTTGCTATGCGTTTTACTAGAGTGTTTTGAGTGGTTACTAGGGCATTGCTATGCCTTTTACTAGGGTGTTTTGGTGGTCACCAGGGTGTTGCTATGCATTTTACTAGAGTGTTTTGGATGGTCACCAGGGTTTTGCCATGCGTTTTACTAGAATGTTTTGAGTGGTTACCAGGGCATATCTATTCGTTTTACTAGAATGTTTTGGGTGGTTACGAGGTTGTTACTATGCGGTTGCTAAGGTGTTTTGGATGGTCACCAGGGCGTTGCTATGCGTTTTACTAGAGTGTTTTGGATGGTCACCAGGGTTTTGCCATGAGTTTTACTAGAATGTTTTGAGTGGTTACCAAGGCATATCTATTTGTTTTACTAGAATGTTTTGGGTGGTTACGAGGTTGTTACTATGCGGTTGCTAAGGTGTTTTGGATGGTCACCAGGGTGTTGCTATGCGTTTTACTAGAGTGTTTTGGATGGTCACCAGGGTTTTGCCATGCGTTTTACCAGAGTGTTTTGGGTGGTTACCAGGACATTGCTATGCATTTACAAGGGTGTTTTGGATGGTTACAAGATCGTTGCTATGTATATTTCTAGGTTGTTTTGGGTGGTTACTAGTTGGTTGCGGTCTAGCCTGGACCAAAGAGTCCATACAAGTTTTTATGATATTCTTGTCTATAAATATTGTCCTGGTCCTTCCTTCAACATACGTCTTTTATTGTCTGTTTCATTTTTCTAATAAAAATAATAGTGCAAATTATATATCAGAAAGATTTTATAAAGGCTGCAACCACTAAAACAAGAACTAAATATCTATTTGTCTCCTGGTCAACATTAACCAACAGCCTGTACTGCCGAAAAAGTAAGTTGTTTCAGAAACGGAGCAAGTTTTGATGAAAGACAAACATTACTGTACTTGCACTGAAGAATCATTCACATTAAGCCAGTAACGTGCATTACGTAAAGTAAAGAGGGCCAGTTTTGATTTCATGTTGACACACTCAAAGCAGCGATGCATTACCCCACACAGCTAATTAAAACACACACATTCTGAAAGGTAAAAGAGAGAATGACTGTAACTTACATGCTGGTTTTCGTCTTTGACCCTGCGTGACTGCAAAAGCAATAACGAGACAGGATTCAATTATGTTCTCGCTCTCGCACAAAGTACGACAGACAGATGTAGCTATTTGTGTGGGAGTGCAATCAGCACTTGCTCATTTGCATTCCATAATAAACAATAAACACAAGAACAACATCTCCAGCTTCATTAGCAGCCGCTGAGTTGCGGACGCTTCGCTTCGGGGGCTCTGATTGTTCCTTCCTGTCGGAGACGTTTTAGCATTATATATTCCACATTTCTGAGAGAAAAAGGCCCCTCGGCTTTGATCAAATGGCGTGCGTCACCTGTATGGTACAGGCAGAGCGTTTATGATAAAATACTAAGAGAGCTTGAGGTGTGCTGCTCGGCTTTACATCAGAGAAAGTGCAGTTGTTCAAATCTCTTATGTGTGTTAAATGCAAATTCATACCTGAAGGCATTATTTTTACAGTAAAGTTCAAAACTCTGAGACCACTAGTGAAAATGTGTACATTTTGCAGTTTTTCAACTGAATGCATTACATCTTCTGAAAACAAATGATACATTTGTGTGAGAAACAGACCATAATTTAATGTTATCAATTATCTACTGCTAAACACTGCTACTGGATCATTCAGATAAACTGATTCATTTAAAAGATCACACTCAGAAGAGATATTCGTTAATGAATCAGTTCAAAGTCAGTATGTTTATTACACAATATAAACATATAATTGTATATATATGATAACAATGTTTTAAATAATAAGTTCAAGTACAGTCTGTTTATCACACTAAAATATTGTATGATTTCAGAAGGTGTGTAATATAAAGTAAATGATATAAAAATATTTATAAATAAATGTATATTTTTTAATAAAAATACTGTATATGACTTCAGACGGTATGGAATTTAAAGTAAATAATATATTAATATTATAAATGAATACATTTTTATAATACTTTTTTAGAAATAAAAAATGTCATTAATTAGTTTAAGTTCAATCTGTTCATAACAAAAATACTGTATATGACTTCAGAAGGTATGGGATATAAAGTAAATCATATATAAATATTTCTGAATAAATACATTTCTCTCACTCTCTCTCTGCATATATATATATATATATATATACTGTTCATTACACAAAAATATTGTATGACTTCAGAAGGTGTAGAATATGTTAATAATATCTAAATATTTTTGAAAATATTTTTTACATATATTGATTTATAAATAAACATTGTAATTTAATTTCAGTCTCTTCTTCACACAAAAATATTCTAGGACTTCAGAAGGTGTGGAATATAGAGTTAATAATAAAGAAATATTTATAAATAAACAATTTATAAGTTAAACATATAATACATATTATACACATATTTATAAATAATCCATTTTTATAAATAAAATGTTCATTTTTGAACGAACTATCCCTTTAAGAATGATGATTCACATCCAGGCCACACTTACCCTTCCGTGATTGACAGCAGCCTTCCCCTCCTCACTTATCGCGTCCATTTCGTCATCACTCCACTCCCAGTCTCCATCCTCGGTCTTGTGCAGATGACCACTCGACCCTGGAACCCTTCTGACCTGCGGGAGTGAACAGGACACACCGTCAAACTCACAATAGTGTGCACACAGCAGTGACTCCACACTTTTCCAGCAGACTTGTTGCTGAAAGTATGTTCTCATTCGTTTTCTCCATAAGCGGTTCAAAATATTTTTTGAGTTTTGGAACCAAACTAATTGCAAATGACATTTATATCAGCTGAAATCATGCAGACTTGTTTCTACAGAAGAATAGATGTTTACCATCTTCAGAGCTCATGCCAGGTCGAACTTGGTATGGTTACAAATGATTGTTAAAAATCAATTTCTCTATGGAAGAAATGAATGGCATTTGTACTTTTGGAAGCCTACTGTTGTGCTCTACAGCGTCCCGCTTCGGAGTGTGTCATATATAGTCTGTGCTGAACTTACAGGACTTATTTCTCTGGGTCAGTGAAGTGAGCTTTAATTCATCTCCCGGCCCTAACTTCACCAAAAAGGCCAGCTTTTTTTGAGGCCTGCTCAGTGTCTGTAACCAGTGCTGAAATATTCCACTCTCTGCTCTTTTCAGCAGGACACATCTTTCAAAGCATGCTAAAGTTTAATCTGGCCAACAAGATCTCAATGTGCATTGAAGTACGGCAAATCAGGGGATCAGCTCAACTCCTGAAACCATGCAATTCTGCTCAACAACGTCCCTAAATTCCTGTCACTTAGACAAGCCTTTTCTCAGTCTGGCAAGCTCTAATCTGATCAGCTGGCTTTACACAATTTCCTAGAATAAGGACACACTGGTTTTACTATCCATCCAACAGGAAATCAATTCACGTCTACAATGTACCAGGTTGACAAGATGAACACTGGTCACTTGCTAAAGTTTGCCAAGTTAGTGATATTTTTTTTGGGGGGGGGGCTATAGGAATCCGGCCGTAGAGGCCGGGCCGGGCCAAGTGCCGAGGCCAAGGTCACAGAGGCTGCTCCGCCATGGCCCTCTGAACTTTCTGCTTCGCCATGGCCCTCTGAACTGTCTGCTCCGTCATGGCCCCCTGAACTGTCTGCTCCGTCATGGCCCCCTGAACTGTCTGCTCCGCCATGGCCCTCTGAACTGTCTGCTCCGCCATGGCCCTCTGAACTGTCTGCTCCGCCATGGGTCCCGGAACGGGTACCGCCCTGGAGGCCATCCGTCCCGTGTAAGCCTGTCCCTAGAGGCCTCCAGAGCGCCCACCCCCCCCTCCCCGTTGGATGTTATGAGGCGTGCCTTCCGGGAAGGGGAGGTAATGTCACACCCCTGGACTGTCTGTGTTGTGTTTTGCTTCCCATGTTCTCCCCGTGACCTAGTTTCTCCCTCGTGTTTCATCATGCCTTTATTTGGTTCTTCCTGTTCCCATTGTGTTTCATTGATTCCAGGTGTGTCTCGTTATCCCCTCGTTCAGTCTGTATATAAAGTGTGTTCTGCCCCTTGTTTCCTGTCTGGTATTGTTTGTCTATCCCCTGTGCTACGTGTGCGTGCCTGTGAATGTTTAAAGACTCTTCTGATTATAATTCTCCTGCGTGCTCCTCATTCCTCGCTCCAACACAGTAGTAGCAGATTGTGACAGTCAGATAGTCTCTTCTAGTCTAAGGGGCTGTTTACACCTGGTCACATGCATTTTGTCTGATCGGATAGCTATTCGATCGTGAAAAGGCCTGGTGTAAATGCCCTCCAAAACGCATTCGAGACGGATATAAATCCGATCGCTCAAACCACTTCAGGAGGTGGTCGGGGCCGCATTCCAGATGAAACAGAACAAGTGTAAATGCATCTGGTTGTTGAAACCACATATGTAAATTTTACTCCTCCCAAAATAATAAACGTGTGAGAGCGTGTTATAGGCTATATGACATTATAGTCAGATATGACTGCGCTAATGCAACACGCATCGCAGTGGACAAGTAGCTGAGTATCTCTTCAGCAAGCCGACGTGCAAACTGCCGCGAATGAAACAAAGTAATATGCAGACTATCAACACACAATCATCTTCATTAAAAGTGGTAAGACAAACGTATCTTTCCAGTGCTCTCCTATTGCAGTCATTGATCTTGACATGAGCTGATAATTAAAATCCAGCGCTTATCTTTTGATTTCATTGATGTGAACTCCGTTAAATTTAAATATAGCGCGGGAATTGAAGATCAGATTTATATCCGTTTTGTGACGACACATTTATGTGGCCAAGTTTAAATGGAAACGTTTTAACAAATCAGATAGATATCCGATCAGCAAAAACGCATGAAACGACCAGGTGTAAACAGGCCCTAAGTGTGAGGTTCAAAAGTCTGGTACTACACGAGACTATTAAGAGTTACAGCTAGTTCCATCCATTTAATCCCAGAACCGGCGATAACTATATCAAAAAAGGCACAGAAGACCTTAAATCCACTGGATGTCTGTGAAATATGAGGTACTAGACTGTGGAGATCAGACAGCGTCCGATCAATGACACTTTCTGAAGTTTGCTCTCTTCTGAGAGGCTATTGACAAAATCATATTGGCCTGATCGAGAAACTCAGTCGATCCGCAACATATACATCCAGCCGCCCCGTCCTGACACACAGACACACTGTCTTCCAGGAGATTTACTCTGCGTCCAGTTCAAGACGAGAGGTGAAACATGGCACACACACATGCCTAGAGGCGAGAAGCACTAAGTAAGTGTTCTGCGAGTGAGATAACATGTACCCGTTTCCCAGCATCCTCTGTGTGCTGATTCCTCTGCTCGGGATCCTTCAAAATAACACACAGACAAACAAAGCAACAAATAAGCATCAGCGCATGATGACAAACTGCACCTGCGGGCTGTGTGCTTACGAATAACATGAGTGGGTCAGCAGCACCGAGTGCTCAAACACACACTCGCTGTCATTTACGGACATTATGTAAGCTCAAATAGCCAGCAGTAAATTGCTCTCTTAGGAAATGTAATGCGCAATCGAGTGTTGTGATGCAGACATTCAATTACAAAAACAAATCATTACAATGCTGAAAGAGAAAGACAAAAGAACATCTTTTAGAAATAATATTTTAAAAACGATCTGTATTCAGAAAATTTATTTCTGCATTTATTATTTATAATTGTAGTTTTTTTTAGGGCCAATGGCACAAATTCTTTTGCTCAGGCAAATTCAAACATTAAACTAGGCCTAAATAAAATAAAATCGAATCACTTCAATGTTCACAATACATAAATCCTTAGGGCCAATGGCACAAATTCTTTTGCTCAGGCAAATTCAAGCATTAAACTAGGCCTAAATAAAATAAAATCGAATCACTTCAATGTTCACAATACATAAATCCTTATTATATACAGTGCCTTCCAAAAGTTTGGGATCAATAAGATTTGTAATGTTTTTTAAAGAAGTTTCTTATGTTCACAGAGGCTGCATTTATTTGACCAAACATACAGAAAAAAAATGTAATTTTGTGAAATATTATTGCAATTTAAAATAACCGTATATACAATATACACTATTATTCAAAGTTTGGGGTCAGTCATTTTTTTTTCTTAAAAAAAAAAAAAGAAAATAATACTTTTATTCAGCAAGGATGTGTTAAATGGATACAAAGTGATAGTAAAGACTTATATTGTTAGAAAATATTTCTATTTTGAATAATGCTGTTCTTTTTAGCTTTTTATTCAGAGAATAAAAGAAAAAAGTATCACAGTTTCCAAAAAAATATGAAGCAGCACAACAGTTTCAACACTGATGATAAATCAGCATATTAGAATGATTTCTGAAGAATCATGTGACACTAAAGACAGGAGTAATGATGCTGAAAATTCAGCGCTGCATCACAGAAATAAATTCTATTTTAAAGTATATTAAACTAGGAAATCCATATTAGAAATTGCAAATAATATTTCACAATATTACTGTTTTTTCTATATTTTATCATCATATTCTGTTTTTTATTATCAAATAAATGCAGCCCTGATGAGCATAAGAGACTCCATTAAAAATCATAAATCACCAAAGAACGTCTTTAGAAATGATTTTAGTAGGCCTATCCAAATTTATTCATCTTTATTTCTGCTCTACTGTATACATACATCATATGCTTTGGCAGTACAGTAAATATTTATAGTCGTGTCACTAAAGCTTTGTTCACTGAAATGAGAAGAGAGAAATAAAGACAGTTTTATAGCTAGATATTCTGATTTACATCTATAATTCAGTACCAGGTATAACTCCATAACAAGAGATTATTAAAATTTCAGCTGAAAATAATTCAAAATAATGTGCTCCAGCATGAGTCAACAGCAGAGACGCTGCGAGGAACAAAGCAGCAAGCTGCTCTGCCCCCTACTGGACACAAACCACAAACACTCAACTTCACCAGACACACATGAATTACACAGATGAAAAACATCTCATATATTATTAATGGTATAAGTGTAGACATATATTACACCTTATCTATGGTCAAAATGACACAATCTTGACTCCTTTCAACTATCACAGGTTTGTACCAAGAAGGTCAAGTTATATGAGATGGCAGAAATTACAGGATAAAATCTAGAATAAAATAATCAAGATGTTCATGCATAAAATTCTAAATTATCTCTCTGTCTGTCTGTCTGTCTGTCTGCCTGTCTGTCTGTCTGTCTGTCTATCTATCTATCTATCTATCTAACTATCTATCTATCTATCTATCTATCGTTCTATCTATCTATCTATCTATCTATCGTTCTATCTATCTATCTATCTATCTATCGTTCTATCTATCTATCTATCTATCTATCGTTCTATCTATCTATCTATCTATCTATCGTTCTATCTATCTATCTATCTATCTATCGTTCTATCTATCTATCTATCTATCTATCGTTCTATCTATCTATCTATCTATCTATCGTTCTATCTATCTATCTATCTATCTATCGTTCTATCTATCTATCTATCTATCTATCGTTCTATCTATCTATCTATCTATCTATCGTTCTATCTATCTATCTATCTATCTATCGTTCTATCTATCTATCTATCTATCTATCGTTCTATCT